AGACAGACAGACAGACAGACAGACAGACAGACAGACAGACAGACAGACACACACACACACATACATACATAATTGCATGCATACCTACATACATGCGTACATGCATACAAATACAAATACACATGCAAATACCTATACATAAACATATACATATACATAGACATAGACATAGACATAGACATAAACATACATACATGTGTGTGTCTGGTGTCAGTCGGGGCGGGGCAGGAAATCAATCGAGGGAGGAAGGAGCAATGGCAAAAGAGTTGGCAGTACGGGTGAGGCTGGAAAGAGCAGTATCGTTCAGGACGACTTGCAGAGGTGGCCCAGACGATTGCGGCACGTGTTGAGAATTCGGGAAGCCCGTACAGTTAGTCCCGCTGGAGAGGTAGTCGACGCGGCGGTGCTCCTTTGGACCCCAAGCCAGACTCATCAGTTGGGCTCAGATCGACAGCCTAAGCCACTGCTATAGTGCACTTGAAGCCCGGAGACGATGTGGTGGCAACAGTCAGGAAGAGAAAATTTCGATTCAATCGAACAATTGGTTGCAGGTCAGGAGCAGGACATATTCAAATGATGCGCCTCACAAGGAATAAGCTCAGCGACGCCGCCATCAACAAGCTCCAGACCTACATCGAGAGGAGGGGAAGACAGAGAGAGAGAGGTGGGAGGGAGGGAGGGAGGGAGAAAGAGAGAAAGAGAGAGAGACAGAGAACAAAGAGAGAGAGAGAGAGAGATTTTGGGAGGGAGATTTTGGCGGGCAGCAAATGATTGCTGTTTGTCCCGTCGAAGTCCTTGGTCTTGCTTGCTCCATTGTCCTCATACCCTCTCCAGCTTCTGTGCTGAAGACGCCATTCACCCAGACACGGCCCTCCGTAAGACCAGCTCGTCTCCAGATGGGACGCCATTGCCACACTGGTGCCAGAAAATCGCGTCTGCCCGAGGTGAGCCGGCTCGAAGGCGCGTGACCTAAGCCGCGGCGATGGTGATGGAGCCCGCGACAGGCGGATGTTGGTCGCGGCCGCTCCTTCCCGCCCTCGCAAAAAAATAGCCTGACAAACTACCCAACCATATGCAGTTGCGAGTACCGCGAGGGAGATGAGACGAAAAGTGGGGCGCGCACACTCCGCGTAGCTCTCATAGGCAGCGCTCCGCAGGAATAATGAGGCACGGAGCTGTGCAGGCAGGGGTGTAGGGAACGCATGTGGACGCAGTCACTAGGGCCTTCGGTGGCCCTCCCTGTGGGGCCACGACATGTGTGAGGAGTGTGCCGACATGGGCACGGGACGCATGTGGACGCAGCCACCGGGGCCTTCAGTGGAGGTCCCTATGGGGCCACAAACCGTGTGAGGGGTGTGCCGAAATTTGCCCGGAACGCATCTGGACGCAGCCACTGGGGTCTTCGGTGGAGCTCCCTATGGGACCACGAAACGTATGAGGGGTGTGCCGACATGTGCGCGGCACGCAGGTGGACGCAGCCATTGGGGCATTCGGCTGAGCTCCCTATGAGCCACGACACGTGTGAGGGTGTGCCGAAATGGACGCGGGACGCATGTGGACGCAGCCATGGGGGCCTTCGGTGATGCTCCATATGGGGCCACGAAACGCGTGAGCGATGCACCGACGTGTGCGCGGTACGCATGTGAACGGGGCCACGAAACGTATGAAAGATGTGCCGAAATGGGCGCGGGACGCATGTGGACGCAGCCACTGCGATGGGGTCACGAAACGTGCGAGGGGTGTGCCACATAGGCGCGGGACGCATGTGGACGCAGTCATTGGGGCCTTCGGTGGAGCTCCCTATGGGGCCACGACACGTGTGAGGGCGTGCCGAAATAGGCGCAGGAAGCAGGTGGACGCAGCCACTGTGGCCTTCGGTGGAGCTCCTTATGGGGCCTCCAGCCGTGTGAGAGGTGTGCCGACATGCGCGCGGCACGCATGTGGACGCAGCCATTGGGGCCCTCGGTGGAGCTCCCTATGGAGCCACAAACCGTGTGAGGGGTGTGCCGACATGTGCGCGGGACGCATGTGGACGCAGCCATTGGGGCCTTCGGCGGAGCTCCTTGTGGGCCACGAAACGTTTGAGGGTGTGCCGATATGGGCGCGGGACGCATGTGGACGCAGCCGTGGGGGCCTTCGGTGGATCCCTCTATGGGGCCACAAAACGTGTGTGAGGGTGTGCCGAAATGGGCGCGGGACGCATGTGGCCGCAGCCACTGCGATGGGGCCACGAAACGTGTGAGGGGTGTCCAGGGAGAGGTGATGATAGTCATGATGACGACGATGGGAGGAGGGAGGAGGGGGAAGAGGAGTGAGGAGGAACGCGGGGCGCTGTCTTTTCAAAACGAGGACCCATCACGACAGGCTGATTGAGAAAAACATGCACAACAAAAACAAACAAGCAAACAAGAAACGCCCGCGCGATCGCGGCGCCCTCGCCCGCCGCGTGTTAGCCCCTCCCTCCCAGACGCGTTGGCTCCTCCGGACTGGCGCCCTCTTTTGAGTGCCGTTCGGGCGTGTGGATGTTGTATTTGTTTGTTGCGCTCCCTCTGCGTCTGCTTCGTCCTTCGCTTCGCTTCTCTCTCTCTCTCTCTCTCTCTCTCGCACGGGACCTGCTTCGCGCCTTCGTGGACTTGTCAGGCTCTTGCAACACTGGGGCATGGCATGGCAGGTCGTCGGGCCCCGCGGCCGACGTGCCCGCCAGGCCCACCACGAGCTCGCGGCGGAGCTCTTGCGCAACCTCCTCGGCACTGGTGGGGCGCAGCGAGACCGGCAGCCGCCACTGGCGCGCCGCCCAGAGTGGCGCTACGTCTGCGGCACCTGCAACTTCGAGAACCGCGGGGCGTGCCGCCAGTGTGGCGCCGCCCGCGCTAGGGCGAAGGCGAGCTGCCCGCCCCCGCCGCCGGCTGCCCCTGCGGGCGACGCCGGCGCAGCCTGGCCGACTCTGCCAGGCGCCCGGGGCCCCCGCCCAGGGGCCCAAGCGGAAGCCCTCCGCCAGGCAGCCGCCGCGGCCAGGCGCGCTGGGGCCCCGGCTGCGGCAGTCGAGCCCCTGCTGGCGGAAGAGCGCGCCGCGAGGCAGCGACAGGCGGAGCGCCGCAGCGGCAACCGCCTGGAGGGCCTGCGAGCGGCGGCACAGAAAGCAGCCGCAGCAGCGCAAGCCGCGGAGGAGGCGCTGGCGGCCGCAGAGCGCCACCTCGAGGACGCCCGCGCGAAAGCCGCCGCGGCCGAGGCGGCGGCGCGCGCGGAGGAGGAAGCGCAGCTGGCGGCGGCGGCGGGGCCGGCCCCGCCTCCTCGGGCCGACGGGCCGGCGGTGTTGGCGCGGGCCACGCGCGAATTGCTGGACCGCCTCGAGAACGGGGCGAGGGCCTGGGGCGGCGCGCCAGAGCCGCTGCTGGCGGCGATGGCGGAGGCGCACGCTGCCCTAGCGGCCGCGGAGGAGCCGGCCGCCGAGCTCGCCTCCGAGGACGCCGAGGACCTGGACGACGACCTGCAGGTGGGCGGCGACCAGAGCCCGAGGAGGCGCTGGGACGACCTTCGCGCAGAGGAGGCCGAGGAAGGCGCCTTGCTTGAGGAGCTCGACCGCGCCGACGCAGGCGACGACGGGGCTCTCCTCGAGGCGGCCCGCCGCCTGCGCGGGGTCCGCCGCGAGGCGGCCGCCGCCGTCCGACCCGCCCGGCCCCGGCCGCCGCGGCGAGAGGACCGCAGCCGCAGCACAGAGCGCCGATCTACGGCGGCGCGCGGGTCGGCGAGGCCAGCAACCCGGGGCCGCCGGGAGGGGGGCCGCTGCCTTGCCCAGCCTGCTAGGGGCCGCCGCGCGCAGTGCGCCCCTTGCGCCGCGAAACCGGCACTTGCGCTGCCTGCCTCGGGGGGGCCGGCCCTGGCGGCTGGTTTCACCACTGCGAGGCCTGCGACCAGCTGCTCTGCCGCGTCTGCACGACCGCCGCCGCGGACGCCGCCGCCGCCGCCGCGGCCGCTGGGCCGCCGGGCGCCGCGCCCGCGGCCGGCGCCGCGCCCGCCGCCCCCGCGGCCCCCGGGCCGGCGCCCGCTGGCGGCAGCGCCCCTGGGCAGGGCGCGCCGGCGGCGCCTGGGGCACCCGCGGCGGCCGCGCCCGCCGCGCGCCGGGGCCGCCGCCGCCGCCGCTCCAGGACATGGAGGCGGCGCGCTGGCGCGGGCTCGACGACCTGGACCTGCTGGACGAGCTGGCCGCGGACTGCCCCACGCTCCTCTTTGCGCCCGGCGGGGCGCGGGCCGCGGCTGCGCAGGCCACGGAGGCCCTCTGCAAGGCGGTGCTGCGCGCGCCGCGCGGCAGCCAGGCGGAAGAGAAGGCTTGGAAGCTACTGCTGCTCCGCGAGAGGCTAGCTCCTCTTCTCGGCCCCGCTGGAAAGGGGCACCGGCGGCAGGCGCCAACTTGGGAACGAGCCGGCTGCGCGGGCCGGGCTGATCCGCCAGCGGTGTTCTCAGCTCCACAGAGGCGCCTGGGGGGAGCTATTGGAGGAGGCGCGGCAGACCGCCCAGAGCTTGGCGCGCGCGCGCAGAGAGAGAGGGCGCCGGGGGGCGCCCGGGCGCCGCCGCCGAGGGGCACCTCGCGGACGCGGTGGTCCGGAAGGCGCTGGACGAGGAGTACTCCCGGGCCGCCGCGCCCCTCGCGAGCCCTGGGCTGGCGCCCCTGACGCCCGAGACGGCCGCCGCGCTCCAGAGGGCTGCTCGAGCCGCACGGCGCGCCTCCCCTTGAGCCCAAGCCGCGCGGCGGGCCCGCCGCCGCCTCGCCCCTCTCCCACCAGGAACTGCGAAGAGCGCTCAGACGGAGCCCGAAAGGGAGCGGGGCCGCCGCGGGGGGCGGCCGTTTCGAGCACTGGCGGGCGTTCCTGGCGGAGCCGGCCGCCCTTGAAGCTTTCTGCAAGCTCTGCGACCCCTGCCCGCGAGCGCCGCGGACGCTCTCGCCCTCTCCCGGGCGACGCCGCTCAGCAAGCCGGGCGGCGGGGCGCGCCCCATCGCTGCGCCCAACGTCCTCCGCCGCCTGGTGGGGGGGGCGCTGGTGACGCCGCGGAAGGAGGAGCTCGCGGCCGCGCTTGGCCAGCACCAGTTCGCCATCGGCGCGAAGGCGGGCACCGAGCTGCTGGCGCGCACTGCCAGGGCCTTGACGGAGGCGAACCCGGACCTGGTCTTGGCGGCGCTGGACGAGAACGCCTACGGGACCGCGCGCCGCGAGGCTTGCCGGGGCGAATTGGAGGAGGCGGCGCCGGAGCTCCCCCCCTTCGCAGACCTTTTCTGCTGGCGCCGCTCCCAGTATTATTTCTGGGACACAGGCGGAGACTGCCACCGCTTGGGCTCCGCGGACGGAGTAGACCAGGGGGGCCCGCTGGCGCCCCTCCTCTTCGCCTGCGGCCTCCGCTCCCCCCCGCGGGCGCTCGAAGACGCGCTGAAGGCGAGGGCGGCCGCCCTCGGCTCGCGGGCAGACGACGTTCGCGTTTTGGCTTACCTGGGCGACGCGATCGCCCTTGCGCCGCCCGCTCTGGCCGGCGAGGTCGAGGCGACTGCAGAGGCCACCCTGGGGCCGCTGGGGCTCGAACTGCAGCGGCGGAAGACGCAGGCCTGGTCTCCCCGCTCGCCCTGCCCGCCGGGGCTGGAAGCTCGCTGGCGC